AAATTTTATTTAAATATTTTAAATTTTAAAAAAAGTAGATCATAAGCAAATTTATAGTAATTTTCTAGGCAAATTTGACTGAATTTCTCTACAGTTTAAGGGATAACGTTTATCAGTTTATATTTTGATGGTTTTCACGTTTTTAATCTAAATCTCAAAAATATAAGTAGTATTAACCTATCACGTGATAGTTCACCTTTTATCTTGGCATCACTAATAGTCATCTTTCTTGTCTAACTTTCATTCTTATCAAATAATTTATCATAAACGATGTGAAACAGTTTCAATCACAACTTGAACTTTATAAGAGCTTGTTGATTTCTAGATATATCCATTCTAATAAAATAAAAATAAAATATTATTTTAAACACTTTAAACGTTGATATTGTATATAAATGAAAGGAGCTAATATTTACCATGCCAGCATTCATAGCAGTTTTTATAATATAAAGGCTCTCCATTTATTTACTATTCAAGATAACAATCTATCTAATATTTGTACCAACCAAATATAAAGATTCTTGTTAAGCATTTTTTTAAATTTTTTTGCAATTTAACTAAGTTATTGTTAGCTTGGTCAGACATGTCATTTCTTGTACAATTTTATGCGATATAGATAATGTGGATAAATATATTAATATCTCTATCCCGCAATTTATGTATATGTGTCAAAATAGTACGATTTTGGATTATTTGAAACTCAAATATTGATATGGAATATAAAAGAAAAAAAAAACAAATAACCTTATCAATTGACCACCAGTTGATGTACTGACTATTGTTATCATAATATGGAAAACAATGGTGTTCTCCACCTATTGTTTTTTTTTTCATTATTAATTAATATTTGAATAGTAAATTCAAAATGAAATGGTATCACAACTTGACAATTTGAAAAATCTATAAATCTTCTAAGAATTTCTTTTTCTCCTCACTATTTACACCATTTTATCTCCAACACATCTCTTTTTTTCATCTGCAACAGATATCACATGTAGCTACTTTTCTTTCCCCTTCTTCTTTCATTTGGCAAAAAAATTTTTTTCCGCTAAGGATAGACGAGTAGAAATAAAGATCCAACTTGGAATGTTCTATTAGCATTACCCATTCTATAACTTTTATCATTAAATACAGAAGAAAAAAGACAGATATTATCGTTTAAAATAAAACTTCTAAATGGTTCAAAATCATTATTCGAATATCCTTAGCTTCGGGAGTAAAAGCATTAGAAGTTTTGAAAACAGTTTGTGCGGTGGATATCGGTGTTGTATTTTCAAATATAGGCTGTTTTGTAATAAATAAAATTATCTTTAAAAGATTGTTTACACTTATAGTATGTGTCAGAAATTAAGTATCATATGTCATTTTAGTTAAAACATTAAAGCTAGATAATGTAAAGTTTTAACACTAATTTAATTAAATTAGGATTAAAACAGAGAATGTCTATTAGTTAAAAGACATTGCATTGAGCCTTTAATATCTATTTTTTCGTATATTTATTTTTTCATATATTTGGTTATTTATTTTTTGTTTCATCTATAGCAGATTGGATTAAATATCTACTGGCTTTAACATTCTCAAAACGAAGATGCTTAATTTTTAGTATCAAGCAAATCAATAAGTGATATCTCTACAGTATACACCACTGGATTCTAATGCATGTATATCATTAGATTTAACTTCTTCAGATTTATTCATAAGTGATTCTTTGTCAAATTCAATTTTTGATACATTCTGTTTAGCATCATGAAAAACAGTCATAACCAAAATTTGACTGCTTGCTTCCTGGTTATCATCACGTTGCTCATTTAGACATAAAATATAGAATTCATGAGTATTTAATTCAGAATAATCAACTTAAAATTGATACAATTACCTATTTTTTTGTATGAAATATCATTAATGATAACTTTGCAAATTGTTTCTGTTGATAAATTATCAAGGTCATTTAAAATTTGAACTAATTTAGGACGTTTTTCCAGCTCTGAAGACCAACAATCAATGTAAATATTTGCATATTCTTGAGGAGTACCAGGAATCATCTTTTTTGTTCTCCAAGAAAAATTCTGACGAAATAATATAATTTTGGGCAAATCTGAGAATGGAGATTTTCCACTTGTAAGTTCCTATATTATCACACCCAGACTATATATATCAGATCATTCATTATGTATAATTTTTTTTTTCATGTTGCAAAAAGCATTGTGGTTCAATATATGCAGCCATGCCCATTAAATGAGATGTTAATAAAGTAATATCTTTTATATACTTTGATATTCCAAAATCTGTGATTAGAGGTTTACCATGGTTTATTAAAATATTTCTAGAATGCTAAGATATTTATGCAAGTAATTTAGAATTGATGACACAAATTTTGGTGGTCCCATACTAATTAAGCAACAATGATATCATAATTTTTGCCTAAAAATTAATGTTTGCATTAATACAAAGTAGTTGTGTCGAAAACTTATATTGAAGGTTTTGCAACATAAGCTTATATAAGACGATCTTTTATGAATAGGTAATTTTTTCACATATAAATAATCAATATGGGAATAAAATTTCAATATGTCAATTTTGGCATAAAAAAAAACATTTTATCAGCCACTTTTAATATTCTTACTAAATCTTGAATCACCAAAATTTTATTACAAACTCAGACGTAGTATTGCTGTAGTAATGACATAAAAAAATGTAAATATATCTCAATTTCAGTACAAAAAAAATCATGGTATAAATATTTAATAAAAATATATCTAATGGTGTATCTATGGCCAATACAATAATGCTGCTACATTACCTATAGAAACCTCTCAATCCAACGTATTAAACTCAACATAACGACAACTTATAATTCTGAAATAATAAAAAATATGCACTTTCAAGTTAGCTAAAAAATCACACATTACTCTAGTATTAGCAAATTTATTAAATTATAATTCTGGCAGATACGCATCAGACCATAAAAATTCAGGACATATCGTGATGTAAATAATATAATCATCAGGATTATCATACATGAATGAATATTTCTAAAAAGGCTTAGCTTTTTTTTTTTATCAATAGTGATAGCGATAGCAATAGTAGCGGTACGGTACCAGTAAGAAAAAGGCACTTCCGTTAATGCACGTGATAGTTTGTTTGCATAATAACAATGAATGAACTTTATTTTGGTACAATTATCGCTATTGATTAAGACTTTAAGGATCTGATTTAGGTAATAATGTTGGTACTTGTTATCATTATGAATATGGAATTATAATCAAAAAGAATAAAAAAAGCATTCGTTTATTACAAAAAACTACAATTAATCATGTTGATATTTGTTATAAAAAAGAAAAAAAAGATAAAAGGTTAAAGCAAGACATCTGAACATTATGAGAAATGGGAAATAAAAAATCATGATTTTGTCATTTATTATAAACTTTATAATTGATTGAAAAATGATCGCATTAATAGAAAAAATTAGTTTATGTCAGAGTGAAATTATTAATAATAAAATACATTAGTCAAAAAATCATTAATAATAGCAAAAAGTCAAAATAATCATTTAAACCATTTTTTATTTTCTTGCAAAAAAAATTTTCAAGTTACAATGGTTGAAAAAAAAATTATCAACATCTCGATTAAATTGTTTTGGGATGACAATTCATCAGCAACATTTAATGGTCCTTTAGAATTTACAATTATCTTAAACCATAGTTGTACAACAATCAAAAATCTGGACATACCAGGCACTGTTCTTTTAAACGAAAAAAGTTACCAAAGGATAACAGATGAACCTATTCATAGTGATATTCATGATTTGCTTAATAATGTTTCCTTGGATGAGGTAATACCGGCAATTCAAAAATTTGTTTATTATTTTTATTTCAGAAAAATACTCAAAAAATGTTCTAGAATTCTCGTCCAGAAGCTATGGCACAAACGAATTATGTTGAATACACAGAGAAAAACCAGATAAAAAATAAAAATAAAAATAAAAAAATATTAAGTTGAACATAGTGATAATGAATTTGTATTAAAATAATAATAATGAGAATGAATTAATGTTTGATAATTAGGTATCATTACAAGGGCAATCTGCAGTGTCTCTAGACCAACAAGATAATCAGGTAAAAATCTACGTATTTAATAATCAAATTTAGCAGATAACGGTTTAACAGTTTTTTTTTTTTTTGGTAATTTAAAGCATACATACATTGAAATGGCAAATGTATCGAGTAATCAATACCCCATCATTTTAATTCCAAGTGACAATATTATAAGAATTTTCTATTTTTAAACTTAAGTTAATCTATTGACATCATTATAAAAAAATCAATACAATTGAATGCTTCAATAATATAAACTTAATAAAATTAAAAAAAAAAGGAAGCAAATACAGCCCTGCAAAGCAAAGATAATTGAAAATCTATAAGAAAATTTTTTAAAGCAACGAAAAGAAATGTAATAGTTTTTTTATTTTAGTTTTTAAATTTTGATTATGCTAACTTAAAGCTAAATTCTTTAGCAAGCTGTAAATTTTCGAGAAAATATCCACAAGGATCAAATAATTAAATATTTTTATAGTATTTTGACATTATCAGATATTTAATTATTAAATTTTAAAACTTAGCAAGGAAACTTA